GTGATAATAACTAATTTTAAAGATATTTGTACAGAAAATGTTGTGAAATTATTGTCACAACCAAATCCAAATGAATCAACAAATAAGGCATATCCAGATTTATCAAGGCGCACTACGCAGATTCAAACAACATTTTTAATTGTTGTGACCATAAATAATCTTAGTTGTTTGTTTTATTGCAATAGATTGGTAGTAGTTCATTATTTTGCCTCTGTAAGTTTCGAATAGTGGCCCGGATGCCCTTTCTGACAAAACCATCTCGATTTAATCTGTGTTTGGGACAGACTCCATGAATACTTGTGTCCCTTCCTGGCATATTCTTTCAGATGTGTTGTTTTTGTGTCTCTTTTGCTTTTGGTTTTAGTCTGGAATTGTGTCATTTATTTCAAACCCTGTTTTTCCTTTTCTAGTCATAGTTTTGTTAGTCTAAAACTGCGACAGAATTGTGACCAGGCAACTCTTCTAGGTTTACCGGTTTACTTGAATTTAACTTATTCAAACGTCAAATATATCCGCATGTCTCCTGCTCTATTGATAACGATGCATTCTATGTAGTCATTACATATCACATGTTTAACTGCACCAGCCCACGTTTTGATCTTGTGTAAAAGAATACCCTTTTCCCCTTGTTCTTTGCCTCTGTCTTTGTCACTTGCTGCTACCTCTCCTCTCCAGATGAGCTCAAACAAACAATTGAGTTTATGCACACACCACAACAACGCACACACACATGCACCACGTAGACTGCAAGAGAGGGGCTAGACGGGACGTCACGCCTGGAGATGGTGGTTCGATGGGGCTGAGAGAGAGCCAGTCGAGGGGGAGGAGAAGGGAGACAGCTGAGAGGAAGGACAGGGGGAGACAGATAATGTTGGGAAGAAAGAGCAAAGTGAAGATGCTGCATGCTTGCATAAGTGTCTGTGCGATGTATGTAGGTGACACAGATTTATGAGTGGCGCTTCTGGAGGGGGAGGAGGGGGGAGGGCTATCGGTACAACACCAGAAAATGGGATCAATGCTTTTCTGTGGCGTTTAATGTCTATTTTAGTTGCAGCCAGTGTAGCCTACCTGCTTCACTGAGAGCTAGTGGTGGTAGTAGTAGTATTGTGAGAGGATTGGCCGAGGTAGACGGGATCAGCAGCGGTGAAAAACAGAGCCAGGGACAGCGGCTGAGAGAGGGACGAGGAGGACACAAAAAAAGGAAAGAGAGGCAGAGGGGATGGGAGCAGCTTTAGCATTGGGCGGCGTGTACAGAGACTGAGGAGATGTGGCAGGATAGGGCTGATCACACTCGCCTTGGTCTGGATTAATTGTGGCTCGTCTCTCGGGGGAAAGCGGATCGATAACTTGGCGTAAGAGTGCCGTTTGGGTGTGTTTGCTTTCTGCACTTGTTGTTTGCATGTGCACATCGGCACAGCAGAGTCCATGCACCGATCTAAACCTGCTCGGGCTAACGGTGAGCTGCGGCTGGCTGACCGGGCCAGGTAACAAAGCCAATGAGTCCACGTCCTCCCACATCTGTGTCATGTTTATGAATCGTGGCACACTTTACTTTTTACAAAGTGCCACCTCATTTTGCTGGCAGCTCCGAGTTTCGTTTTCCTCTTTGTCTGGTGCTGTAGAGACAAACAGCAGCAGAAACTGGGACAGAGGGAAGTATCAGAGACAAAGCCTGTGTCTGTCGTGTGTGGCATGTTCCTCTGTGTGTGAGCACACCTGGACCATGCTCTGGTGGCTGCAGTGGTCGAGGATGTAAGAGCAGTTTGGAGCTGTTTATCACGGTTGAAGTGGCACTGCCTCTGCAGCATTAGGCTGTGACATTTATTCTGTCTGGGGAAGAGTAAATCAGCACTGCTCCCTGAAGGCTGAACATCTTTGTGGTGAGCCTGATTGCATAATCCTGAGCTCACCCGGCCTGTACGAAATATAAGACGACAGTGTCGTCTGCTGCTCCAGGCACAGCTGTGTGTCACCACCAAATACATGTGTGTCTGAACTCAGTGACCGCCGCAGCTTAGCGCGCACACACACAGCGCCCGCCTCCTCACCCCAAATCCAAATCACAAACTACATTAAATTTTAGGATTTGAGCGAGGCTCGGGTGCTCTGTGTCTGCCAGCAGGGGGCATGCTTTTGATCGCTTTCTTCTCAGATGTGCTCTGAAGAACAGGCGCTGGCAACGTTAGCAGAGAAGACACTGAAATAGTCCTAAAAATTAAAGGTGGATAAACAGCGTGCCCACAGCTAACTTCTATAAATGAAGTCGTAGCATTTGGTCTGATGTGTTTGTGCTTGTTTCACAGGATGACGTTATCTGGACCTGGTCTGCAGCCGCGCCGAGACTGCACCGGCATCTGGAACAATGGTAACAAAGAAAACTGACATGACCCGCTCACTTTTTCTGTCTTATGTGTGAACTATAGGCTACATGTATTTGTGGTCACGATCAGTGAGGTAACAGACAGAGCTTTATCAAACTGTATTGATATATTAAGAAACGTTCATAGCCCTGATGCGCATAGGGACAGTGGCGTATTTGAATTAGTTGTGACATGTTTTGGGAGAGGATTCTTGGGTCTCGTCGTGTGCTTCATTGTCCCTGAGACCCTTAACCTGTGATGATGAGCTGGTCACAGGTGAGGTCCTTGGGAACACTGCCGCATGCACCACATCTGGACCATCTAAACATCTGCGCATGAAACATTGTATGCTTTTCTACATTACTTAATATAGCTTTTAAAAAACTTTATTATGTTGTTTTTGGTTATATTATATATCTGCTGTACTTTTTCAATACTTTTTTACTTTTTTAAGCTAACTTATATTATTGGAGTAAGTAAAATTGCACTCAACAAGTTACAAGGTGTAGACCTATTAATAAAATCTGGTCAAAACCACTCAAAACATTATAAATCTTCTTGCTGTAGACTTTCTTGGTTTAGAAAATGACTTTGCAGACAGTGGTGAAATAGACGTCATGACCGCATCCTGAGCGAAGTTTCCAGACGTCATGGCGACACTGCGGAGATCTGAAGGGGGCAGTACCTTTTGGATGCCTTTGTGCCCAATAACACACGCCTCATTAATAAGACAGCCAAAGGTCATGACCCCGAAAAACGATTCACTCAAGACTTTTAAATACGCGCGCAGGTGCAGAGCATGATTGCATGGAGAAGGACTCAGGCACATTTGTAAGATTTTTATGAATAATATTTAAGCAATTTAGACCTGTGTCTTCTTATTCTGAAATATTTAAAGATCTGTTGCATTTATAAAAGTTTTATCAAGATTTTGCAATGTTTTTGCTTTACATTTAATAAAAATTACATGCCTTTGTTTTTTCAGATAAAATTTTATTATATTGTATTTTGCATAATGATGTACGTTTTAATTAAAGTGATCAATACATAATATGTTCGTTTTGTTTTGTTTTTTTGAACATAGTAAATGCAAGCTTTTCTATAACACACTGGACAGATTAACATCAGGCATTTTTAAATAAATATAAATAATTGATATTTTGAATTTAATAGAGTTAAAAGCGAAAGCCTCAAATATATATTAATAAATCTTTTTCAAATTTTCCACTTTGTTTATATTGAATCTCTAAACTGTATTACAACAACATTTTCCATCTGGTTTTATTTGTGACTTGTGCATAATAAAGAGTCTTGAAACCCCAGTTTGCAGATGACTTGTAAAATCATTGACAAAGTGCTGGTCGTTTGGGTCTCTGTGGTCCTGTCTAGTCCCTGGCTCTGGTCCCGGCTCCTTCCTCCAGTGTTTGTTCGTCCCAGGACATTTGAACATTTGACAGCGATTGTGCACAAGACGGACCCAGCCACATTAGTATCCCGCTCGCTCCTGCTGCTGAAAAACACATTAACGGGCTGCATCAGGAGCGCTGTCTGGTAACCATGGAGAAGATCTGTGAGGGTGGGGGCACGAGGCGGGACAGGGGAAGGTGGGGGGTGTAGGGGGTGGGGGGTGAGTCAGGGCAGCGGGTTCACCTCAGTCTCACAGGGCCTGTCTTTCTCAAACCTAATTTTCTCAAAATGGTCATTTTCTCTGCACCACAACCTATTGGCCATCCTTTTAATGAAGACCTGGCAGGCTGTGAAGACACTACAAACAAAAAATTGGCATAAACAAATTGTTGGAAGAGAAGTTGTGTCTATAAATAAATGTCTACTTTTTATCTGCTTGATAATATATAATGTGAAATCCAAACAAAAATATTGTATATTTGATCAAGTAATGCTCCATTGGATAATGAATGTCTCATAAAATGACATATTCTGATTCCTAATATAATATAATGAAGGTTGCTGTTTGGTAACATTACAATACAAATACACCCACACACCTTATTTAAAACCCACAATATAATAGTATCATATGAGTATAAGAAAAAGCTTTATCCATGTGACTTAACTTGTAAATACATGGTATTTGGTGCAGTTATTTCTATTAATGTAAGAATATCTTCAGCTTACCACTACAATACCTACGATGGGGTGTGTACTTTTTTCCTGATAGTGGATGTGTGTGACACACCCCGATGTTGTCCCTAGCATTCTGCTCTGGTCCTGCCCTGTAGTGATGGATGTTCTCTGCACAGACTCATGACTGCAGTGGAGCCCCAACAACTCAAAGACAGACGTCTGGAACAGCACAGCATCCTCTACGGGGTCTTATGAAAGATGGAGGGTGATTGTGTTCTCCCTGTATGTTCTGTCATGGAATTCATTGAAACAATAAGGTTTTTAATTTAGTTCACTTGTCATAACAAGTGCACACATAACATTGAGCATAACACTGGACATTATTTTATATTAGATTCGATAAATAATGCAATAGTACAGTTCACATAAAGCAAAAAAATTTAAAGAATAATAGTATGACATACTGGTATGCACTAGTACTGTGTTGTCGCCAGGTGGCTCTCTTGTTCAAGGCGGAACTAAAGTGCCTCACTTGGTGTTTCTCTTAGGCCCATTTTTGTCGAGTGCGACCGGAAGTGGCCGTAAATTCAAACAATCGTTACATTCAGAATAAATGCGATATTTTTAATCCGCATCTGTGTGCTTTCATACCCCAGACATTTACGAAAGTTTCAGGTGAGTCTTTTTAAGCATTTCGCGGTAAAATATGCACTTGCATCTTGCAGTATTTCGCAAACCACAGTTATCGCCATCTCCGTTTATTTTGGATCTGTCTACTCCCTGAAAATATCACTATAGGCTGTAATTATTTTATTCAGTCTTACACTGGGAAAGGCAACGTAAGTATAAACAAATTCGGTAAAATCGCGTAATATTTACATATATTTTTACAGATATTATGATGTTTTCTACATTAATGCAGTGTATCATTTGGCATTTGCTTCAATGGTGTGAACATTGTACATGTGGCGACCCAGTCCCATTCCCGCCATTAGGGGGCTGCTATCCAGTAAATAGACCCCGCCTGGAATCATTACACTTCTATAATAGTTCCATTAATGTCTACATATATTGCACTTATTATTACTGTGTTTGCTTGATTGATTACTCAATTATTTTTTTCTACAATTACACATAATATGTAATTTGAATTTAATACAGTTTTACACTATAATGCTATGCAAAGTCTGTATTCCAAAAAGTATTTTCTTATTGCATAAATTAGTAAAAATGTCACATTCATTGCTGTACATTACAATGATTAAACATGTCTTCATTCACAGGTACCAAACAGCTTGAAGTAAAAAACAGCAGTACTGAAGATAACATGGCTGATCAGGGCGATCCTTTCACTGATGATGGTGAGTCCAGTGAAGAGAACAGTCACTCTGACCCTGAGATGAAGACGTCTGTCGGTCTGAAGGAGCTGCAGGTTTGTGTGACAGACATCAATGTGGCACAGCCTGATGACGCCAACGGAGCCTCAGTGAAACGAGGGAGAGGGAGGCCAAAGGGTTCAGTCAATAAAGCAAAAATAAATGGAGAAAATAGTCCCAAGAAAAGGGGCCGTCCGAAAAGCTCCACGGTAAAGGCTGCTGCAGGAGACATGAATGGTGGTGCGGCCAAAAGACCAAGAGGGCGTCCTAAAGGCTCAGTCCGTAATGTAGACTCCAGTGGAGAAGAGAGCGACGACAGCTTTTCTCCCCCCCGAAAGAGGGGACGACCAAAGGGATCCTTCAAGAAGCCCAAATATGAGACAGAAAACAGCAGTGAAAATGAAGCAGTACAGAGTACACCTAAGAGAGGACCTGGGAGACCAAAGAAAGGTCCTCCAAAAAGGGGAAGGCCAAAAAAAATATCTCGGGAGGGAGTAAAGAAACCAGAACCAGCAGCAGATGGCACACAGCCTTCTCATAAAAGGCCAGGCCGACCGAAGGGCTCAAAAAACAAACCAGTAGTGACTGTGAGAGTGGAAAATACCAGTGGTCGCCCCATTCGAGCTCATGTCCCACCTGACAAACTTAACATTTCCCTCCCCAGAAAATACCCGGGGAAGGGTCGTGGTCGGCCAAAGAAAAGCAACAGAGGTCGACCAAGGAAGAGGCCTCTGCCCCCAGGAGAGGAGCTATACCAGCCCCGAGTGTGGAAAGCTCTGGGGCGACCCCGAAAGTACCCCAAAGAGGAGCGTCCTGAGACAGCACCTGCTCTTGACACCCCTCGCAGGGGGCGTGGGAGACCCCGGAAATCTGAATCTAAGAAAGGCGCTCATTTGAGAAAGCTCGACAGCGACGGTTTGCCCAGAAAAGCAGAGCATCCTCCTAAAGCAGCAAAAGAGCAGGATGGTCCCCCGAGAAAGAGAGGGCGTCCCAAAGGCTCTTTCAAAAACAAAACCTACATCGACAACAGTTCAGTGAAAATGTCTCATGATTCAGATCACAGCCCGCAGTCTGAGCCCCTGGAAGAGGACGACATTGAGTAAAGACTTTTGCACATTTTTAAATTTGGCTCAAAGAGTAGAAGCTCTTCATTTTAAATGTGCTTTAACCTTTGTTTCTCCATTGTGTTAATGTGAGGCCTTCATGAACTCTTTAGAAGGACATTGTTTCATGTTAGTGACTCTTCATGTTTATACGTAGTGTTCATGTTTTAATGTTCTTAAGCTCCATATTCAAAACATGATGGAAAAGGTATGCATTGGAGAATGAAGTATGTATTGCCTTAGTTGCCAAAGCCTTGAATGTAATGTTAGGAGGTTTTTATTAACCAATTTTATGTCTTATGGAAAAACTCAAAATCACTTTAACCCTTTGAATTGCAGTACTATGACAATTTTCTCTTAACCATATGTTCTTTGATTTTTGTTAAGGTTTGTGTTTAAAAAAATCAAATTTTTAAATTCATTGAACAAATGTCTTTAGAAGCTGCATATTTCATTATGTCATAGTCATTGTAATTGGGTACAAGATTTAAATTAGTGCAATTAAATCATGAAAAGTTCTGAGAGACTGAAATGACTGATTCATCCCATATGGCATGTCAGATTAATTTAAATTGATTTGATTTAAAGTGGCCATATTTTAGATTTTGTAATATTCACATGGAAAAAAACAATTTGTGAGATTACTGAAATAAAAAAGAAAGACATTTTTTTTAAATTTGTCATACATTTGACCGAGGTTTCCCTTGTACTTGTTTGATTATCAAATGTATACTATGACCCAGTTTGGAAGGTTTTCAAAGAGAAATGCAAGTCATTACTATTATGGTTAATTTTATATGGAAAAATGAATCATTTGTAAGTAAACATCTCAACATTTGAGTTGGGGCCATTGACCAGGCCGTTATACATAGCATATTAAAAAAGCTGCAACAGGGAGGCGCCCTCTGCTGGTGAAGTAAACATATTCTCAGGCAGTGTCAAGTCCCAACACTTGATTGTAGCCTGTATACGGTATGATATACACACTTATGGTCTCATCCAGGTACGAACTTGCTCTAGTGAGATAAAATTTTCAAAAAAAATCAAAATATTTATTATCCATCTTTGGAGAATGCTTAACATAGACCTAACTTGAATAGTTGAGAAGTTGCAGTAGTTAAACGTGAATTGTAAAAATATATGTACATGTTTGAAATAGACAGGAGATTGTAATATTAATTACAACTACGTCTTATTTAAGAATATCGCAGTACCCTACTGAAAAACATACTTTAACGACACAGAAATATATCAAAGTAATGGCATTAAACGTTTCTTTGGTTGAGTGGAAAAATGTGAGGAGCGTGCAGATGTTATTTTAATAGATCCATGGCGCAGACTCCTGCGCTGTTACGCAAGGACGTTTCCGGTGTTTGTGGAGTGCGTCAGAGAAGCACCTGGGCGCACCTGCGGAGTCTGTCCGTGTCCGTGAGCCAAACAAAGTACAGTATGATCGTGTTCCGACGAAGCTACGGACTCACCGTGTGACATGTGGCTGAAATCAGGTACGAGTCCAGTTTTATCTCCCATGTGTGTTTTGTTTAACTCTGGGCAGACTGCAAAGTTTAAAACAAAGTTGCTCAACAAGTTTGAGGCCGAAACTCCCCAGCAGAGGCCTGTCCTGTGACCGACCACAGCGCTGTGGGATCTGTCTCTGTCATGCCATAAAGTGCAAGGTTCAAATACCGCCTTTAATTGAGAGTAAGTAAGAGACTGAGAAAAGTAACCTAAACCAACATATTTGCGTGGCGAACTTGACATAATCATTTAATACCATTGGGAGCTACTAATATTGTACTTTTATGAGCAGCTCGAAGCTTAAACACACATGAGGCAAAGGGAAAGAGGAAAAAACATCGCAGACGTGACATTTCAGACAGCAGCTGTGGTAGAATAGGTTTGGATTGTAAAACTGTAGACGACACTCTGGTAAAATGTTTCTTATTAGATTAAGAATCAGTTTAATAACAAATAAGTGGCTCAATAATTAATCCTAGGACCCGCAGTCTGTTTACTCTCCATGGAAAGTTGGAAAGAAAATAGTTGAAATCTGTGTTATAGAACTTGGTGAAACATTTGTAGTCCTGGTATTGTTTCTTGTTTTTGCGTGAAACAGTGTAGCCCATGCAATGCTCTTGTGAATGCCCAAAGCCTGAATTATCAGATTTTATTTAGTTACATAGAGGAAAGGATGCTTTGTCAGGTAAGGCAACTGTTGTAAATCCTGTTGTCTGACCGCTATTCATATTTATGATATAAGAAATTGTGACATGTTTCTAATGTTGCGTCTCCCACAGTAACAAAATATCTTGCTTCAGAAAATATTACAATAAACAATAATTAACTACAAAATGCCTCTGACACAATAACTAAAGCAAGATAATCATTGTAAAGTATAACGTGAATGTGCAATATAATCATAAAAAACATGAGCTGCAAAATTAATTAAAAGTAGAATGAAACACTTAAGTAGTTAGTATCTATAACTAGTTACTTATTCAACCTTTTTGTTTAAATCTAATTGTATTTTATTGCACTACACTAATAACACATGCGACATATTGAACCCCAAAAATATTGTTCCACTTGTATACGAGTCGATATAGTACCTGATTATTGTTACTGGCCTTCTAATGTTTGTCTTAACTGTTGCGCTTTTGTCTTTTCCAGATACTGTACTGGAGAAACATAAAAGGAGCCAGTGAAGCAAGTCATTTTAAATCAAAGATGTCTGACCCTAAACCTGAGGAAGTAAGGACTGCACCTGTCCCGGAGCCTCAAACTGAAAGAAAAGAAAAGTTGGAGGGCTTGAAACCAATCGGACATGTTGAAAAGGACTTTGGGGACAATTATAAAGAACCAGAGGAGGAAGAAGAAGGAAAAGAGGAGGAGGAGGTGAGCGTATGTGGAGCTATGGAACCATGCACTCTGCCTTGGCCTGGCGACAGGAAACCCCAAACAGATCGAGATGACGGGATCTGGTCCGAGAAATGCACCTCGGAGCCTGAAGATGGCGACACCGGGATCAGCGGGGGCAGCCAGGACATTTCGGAAAAACAAAGCCATGAGGGAGAGGAGGAAGAGGAGAAAATCAGCAATGTCAAGAGCAAATGGAGAGAGAGCATGCCAGAGGGTGAGAGGTGGAGGAGTGACGAAATCCAACATGGCAGTGATAAAGGTGGAGGCTCCCTGGCTGATGACGAAGAGGAGGAGGAGGAGGAAGAAGAGGAGGAAGATGAGAAGAACTGGAGAGCAGAGAAAGGGGTGGCCGGGTTCACCCCTCAGGTCACCATAGTTCGTATGTCCAGTAAAGACCTGCAGGAGGAGGAGGAGAGGCCACTGTTTCAGGAGGCACATGGATACAAGGAGCCGTACCCAGAGCAGGATTCAGTGCAGTATCACGAGTGGCCACAACATGACGACAAGCTCTGTGAGTAAATCTCCTCATACTCTGCAGTGACATCCACATGTATTTCTATTAGGATGACCCGACATCCCTATTTACCCGGGACAGTCCCAGTTTTGAGCCCTGTGTCCCCTGTCCAAGCAGATTGATACAAAACCAGTGACATGTCCCAGTTAGGGCTGCTCCATTATGGAAAAAATCATTATCACGATTATTTTGGTCAATATTGAAATCATGATTATTCAAAACATTTATTCAGCAATTCTCTCTAAAAAAAACAAAACACTTTGCTTTTGGTAATTTATGCAAAACTTTCCAATAGAAAATAAATACAGGCTACAAATATGAACCTTAGAGCAGTTTTGCGGTGTATAAAACATAAAATTAATAAAATATACTTTGAACATGAAATAAGGCATAGAAAAACAAATGTATCCAAAATAAACTATATATCCAGCGGTTCTACAATCTCTATATTTAAAAAAATTACATACATAAATATACTTATTTATATGAAAAATATCCCAAACTAAACTTTGTTAAGCTTAATTGTTTCAACTCGATTATGTTTTTTGGAGTTTGGAGATCATTTTATAGTTTGAAATTGTGATGAAAATTCAATTAATTGTACAGTCTTAGTTCCAGGTGTCCCTATTTTTGACCATTTTGATCTAACCCAGGACTAAACTAAGATTAAACCAGGACTACATCAGGTCTAAACCAGGACTAATACAGGATGATCACAATTTTTAACTAATCTAATCCCTGCTCACAGTAAAGAGCAGCATAAATTATCATTTGTTTAGCCAAAATACAGAAATCTGTGTTTGCAAATGACCACAAATCAAAAAAATTCAACAGAAGTCTCTCAGATTATGACTGACATCAGAATGCACAATTTCACACGCTCATTTCACAATTTTATTTATACCAACCGTCCCAACCTGGGTGTGTCCTAGTTTAGAATATCTGGTCGCCCTAATCTCAAACATCAAAACATGGTCCTGTTTTGATGTTTGATTTTCAACAAAAAAGTGAGAGTGACGAACAGAAACTGTTGACTATCTTGTGACTGTAATTTTATTTGAGAGAGACTTGTCAAATCACCTGTTGTCGTTCCAACCAAGTCAGATTTTTCTGTTCAGGTTGTGTTAAAATAAAGCTCAGATTAAGTCTAATTTGAGTTTCTAACAGAGCAGTGCTTCCAATTAGCATCACACTCCCAAGGAATGCTGGTGACATAAGATACAAAGTATTAATAAGGCAGGGAGATTTAATTGGATTTGATTAAGATTTTTGCTCCAGTCACACAAATGCTGTGTTCAACAAAACAATAGGTCTGACTATTGAGGAAGTAGGTGGAATTCTTTTCTGGATCATATGGGTGACACTTTTACAATATGAATCACTAAACTGTACAAAAAATCACACTGTGCGGCCACTACAACCTACAGCTTCACTTTTGACAATACATAAAAATACATAAACACATAAAGCATTGATAATTATGTTTAATAATCAACTCACCTGAATTATCCAAACAGTATTAAGCTTAAAGGGAGTGGCTAGATGGAAGAACTCAATGGAAATTTTAAGATGTCAGTTGCTTATTTCTTTAAAATAATAAAACGGGCTCCATTTTACATGACATAACAGGATTTACAACATTTCAAATTGCTCCAGAGTCGTCCACAAAGGTCCAGTGTCTCTGCGGCCTCACCTTTTAGCTTCAGTCACATTGAACGGCTCCTTTACAAAGCTTTGAGTCTGCTTTTATCCTTCCACACTGAAGCTCCTGAGTCATGGGTAGTTTTTCAGGTTACAACCATTGCCATTTTAGATCGTGCTCCACATTTAGAGCTACTATTGTTTTAGTGAGTCACATTGGTACGTTAAATTGACCTTGTTTATGTACAATGATATATAATTAGCCTATATAAAGACTAAAATTAGACTAATTGCTATAATACTTATTATATTATATATTATAATATATTATTATTAATAATAATATATTCATCATTATTATTATTACTAACTAATGTATGGTACTTTAGTTTGAATTTGAAACACTCCTCTTTTATCGTTGTTATCATTGACATTCCACTGCACAGAACTTTGCACCAGGCTCCTCACATTTACTGAAATGAGATAAAAGGGAGCGCAAGCAAATACAAATCTATCTCCTTAAAATAAATACAATAATGGATAATTTTATCTGAAATATCTGAAACTTTTTACATGGAAAACATGTAAAAAACAACTGCTGAGTAAAAACGTTTCCCTGTTATAACTAAACTAACTAAAAGTATTTAAGTACATTTTTAACAGATACTTTAAGGGCCTGATCTTATCCCCGATCTTAGCACTAGCGCAAGTGTGGGGCGTGGAACTGTAAACAAGAGGTGTGCCGTGCCTGAATATCAGGTGGAGTGGATCAGACTGAGGGCGTGGTGTGAATTGCCAGAATCATAAATATAAATATCAAACTAGTCCACTGAAAAACAACATGTAACATGCTCAAGATTTCTTTTATTTGGAAATATATTAGGATGATAAATGCTTAACATTCATAACATGTGGATACCCGTCTTGCATCGTGGAGCTCCGTAGCTCCTTTATTGTACTCGTATATAACTTTCCCCCACACTCCTTGCTGCCTGTAATGAGGCAAAGATTGTAGACATTACCCACACTGGCAGTGATTTTAAATGCCACTGCAGTCATAGATTGGTTCAGATGCTATATGTACTTGTACCGTCCAGCCTCCAGCTGTGAAGTAGAGCCCGACCTGGACACGCCCACTCCTTATGTGCCAGCTCTAGCACGAAGATTGGAGGTGAGATTAGGCCCAAAGAAAAAAAGTAAAAGTATTTTGCGCAGATTTTGCGATTGAGATTTAATAACTTAAAATGTAGTGATTTTGATACAGATTTGTGCTGAATTTTGTTCAATAAAACAATTGAATCGCTTGTTTCCTTATGTAAAGACGATTCTATGAAAAGTAAACCTGTAGTCATGTGGTTACAGGTTCACTGAAATGAAACCAAGCAATCCCTTTTTTCCTAGCTGTTTTTATTTGTGTATTTTTCTGTGTTAAAAATGAACTCCTCAGCCTTTTCAGCAGGTCTCACACAATAATAAAAAATACTTTTACTTTTCAGTCCTGTTGACAAATGTAGTGGAGTACAAAGTAGATACCTGCTCTCAGATGTAGTTAAGTCAAAGCAAATCCAGTACAGGTACCTAAAATACATACTTTACTACATTAGTACAATACTTTACTACTTTTACTTTGTTACGTTCCACTGTTAAATTTACGCCGTGTTTGCTGTCCCTCTGCAGACCTGTGCGATGACACCTGTGGGGAGAGGCTGAAGCTGACAGTGTCTGTGGTTGCTGGGGCGCTCCTCTTCCCCCTGCTGGTGTGGGGTGGATATGAGCTGCTGCCTTTTGACTCTCCAGTGCTCAATAGCGCCCCCCTCAGGGTGGTCTACACTCTGCGCTGCTCCATGTTTGCCATGATCCCTATAGTTCTTGGTGAGTACATTTGAATGATCTGACTCAGTCTGAATGAAGACAGGATATTTCTGACCAATTGTTGAGACACTGAACTTACATTTTTAAAAAGTTGTGTTGTGAAAGTGCATTCTAAATTCTTCTATGAGATCTGAGCACCTTTTAAAGGGTCTATACACTTTTTTCTGAGCTGTTATAATGTTGTTTCCTCATCACAAACAAACCTGGAGTTTTGTTTCATTCACACATTTAACACACAAACCACAAATTTAGGCTGAGTTTTTCTCTCAAAAGGAAAAAGAAAAAGGAAGTTCTCCACTATGTTTTTAATCTCTACACACCTTCATTAGAATAATTTAGATGCCTGAAGCCCCAGAATTGCCAATCTTTACTGAACTAAAGGTAAAAGGAGATCAGAGCATTTTGAGGTTTGGAGGTATAGACGGACTAATAATAAAAGGTTACTCAAACATGTGTGACCGAAACAAAACACAACTCTAGGTATGTTTTTGAGGAGGTAACAACATTACAACATGGCTTAAAGCTCACAAGAGTGAATTTCATGTAATCTAGGACCTTCAACACTGAGCACACCCGTGACCTTTGCCCTCTGTGTGCAGGAGTGCTGGTGCAAGGCATGGCGAGGCTGCGTTACGGCTCGCTGCGCCCACTGTACGACTGCCGACAGGAGTACAGGCAGGTGGCGGTCCATGGACACTTCGTCAATGAGTCTGTGGGGCTGTTCCTCTTCTATTTCCTGCAACTCTCCGTCATGGCAACCTACGTGAGCCAGAACCTGGTCAAACTCGTGCCTCTGCTCACCATCATCTTCGCTTTTGGCAGGTACAGATGCTCCACATCCCAAGATACTATATTTATATACTGTACATCAGTGGTCCTGGTTTAGTCCTGGTTTAGCTCTGATTTAGTCCTCCTTAATCCTGGTTTAGCCTCAATCTGGTCCCGATCTAGTCCTGGTCTAGTACCGGTCTAGGCCTTTTCTAGTCCTGTTCTAGTCCCAGTCGAGGCCCAGTTTAGTCCTGGTTCATTCCCAGTTTAGCTCTGATTTAGCCCTCCTTAACTTTCTTAACCCTGATTTAGTCCCGGTCTAGTCCCGGTCTAGTCCCGGTTTAACCCTGATTTAGTCCTGGTTTAGTCCCAGTTTAGGTCTGATTTAGTACTTCTTCACTTTCTTAATCCTTGTTTAGCCTTGGTCTGGTCCTGATCTAGTCCCAGTCTAGTCCCAGTCTAGTCCCAGTCTAGTCCCAGTCTAGTCCCAGTTTAGTCCCAGTTTAGTCCCAGTTTAGTCCCAGTTTAGTCCTAGTTTAGTTTAGTCCTAGTTTAGTCCTAGTCTTGACCCGGTTTAGTCCTTATATACCCTATTCATGTATCTGTACTTTACTTAAATGCCTTTTACAGTAGATAATTTTTACTTTTACTTCACTAAATTTGAGAACATGTATTTGTACTTTCTGCTCCACTACATTTTAGATCTGGACTGAAAAGTAAAAAGTATTTTTGCTGAAAAAGCTTAGACTTATTTTTAGCACATTTAATTTGAGTGAACATTCCAACTTTGAGCAAACCAAACACACACATACATACACAAAAACAGCTAGAAAAATTAAGAAATCAATTCAATCACTTTTTAAGGCCTTCATTTAGGAACATGAAATTTAAGACCTTTTTGAAGACTTTTAAGACCCCGCGGCTACTCTGTTTCTACATTTTAAATACATACAGACATCATATTTAGGAAGCAAGATATTGGTGGTTTAGAGTCTAAAATGTAATGAAGCCAGACATCCAGATGGGGGCAAGAGCCAGGTTTTTCCTATTGTTTTTTTTATTTTGCCATGAAATATCAGAAAGGTGAATTCCTAAATATGGAACCTGATCATTTCTATTATTGACTAGACCCGAGATCTGCTATATTACAACAAAAATCCCCTCCCTTATCTGCATTAAATAATACTGGCCTATTGAATGTTGAAATGTCATCTAAAACCCAGAAATTCATATATATATTTGACATCTTCTGTGTGTATATAACATTTTGAAAGTCTCTGCTCTTGTGTCCAGGCTGATCTACTGGCTCTGTCTGTCTCTGCGCAGCACCATCCGAGGTTTTGGTTTCAGTTTCTCTTTTGCCCCTGTGCTAGTGATGCTGGGGGTGAATCTGTACTACATGTGCTCGTCTCTGGGGGAGGGCTCCATATTTGACGTGGAGCCCCCGCCTACTGAAGCCCCGCCCAGACAGCGCTCTTGGTTTGGCTGAAAAAACACGAAAAACATTATTATAAAAGACAAAGATACAAGTGTCACTGTGCCGTTTCATACATTGTGCTTTGATGGTCATTATGTTATGGTTGATCAGCGTAAATTCCTGGTCCAACGCCATTTATCGTTATGTTGAAAACTGTGGTATTTGTCTTTTTAAAGGTGCATTGTGTAACTTTTCTAGTGGACGGTCCGTCAAATGCTTGATGTTATTGCTTTGTATGGAATGTTTCCCAGTATGGCATTAAATCTTTCTATCTTCAGAGACCAAACCAGACAAAGTAAAAGGTCAGATCTCAGAGAGGCAACCCCACCCAGTCAGAATATGTGGGGTTTTTTTTAGGTATTTTTGAGCTATAAAACCACCTGTAATTGAGTAAATGTAAAGTAGATCTGTTTAATGTCATACTGTGGAAAATTCCAGGCAGAGCAATGGCATTTCCATAGAAACAAGAAAGTGACTGACTCCCAACTAAAAATGTACATAGTGCACCTTTTAAAATCAAAGAAACTGTAAATAAAATGATTCAAAGAGATATTATGTATTTTGTAAAAACAGAGATACTGAGGGACGGGGAATCGTGTGTAGAAGTGGACAGGACTTGGATTTGTTTTGTGGCATCCAGTAAAATTAAGTAACTGACCTTTATTCTGTTGTTTCTATCATTTTAACCTCAGTTGGAGACACTAGGTTCTCTATAATAAATAAAAGCTGTGCCTCATTCTCTGTAAGAAATGTGGAAATATGATGGTTGATTCTGCGGCACTGATCCTGTCTGCTGCTCCCAACCTGACGCCTTCTACTGTAGAGAAATAAAGCTCAAAGTATCTCATACAAAGAAAAAAAAACACTGGGTAATACATTATGTTAAATATATGTTGTATACTACAGACATTTAAGCATTTTACCCGTAGATTTCACCTGGTATTATTATGTCAAATTATGTCAAAATCACTGTCAAATATCAAAATTTGTGTGTAATATTTTGTTTACATCAGTAAGAGAACTGTTAAGCCTTGGAGATTTTCTAGTGCTCTTTTTGTATTAAAGATACAAAAGGAATATTTTTTGATATTTGGGCCATGCAATAAAACTTTATTTCTTATTACAATGTTGTTGGTGACTGAGTCTAAGACAGGGCTGCCCAAAGTGGAGTGCTGAGATGATCTATTTTAATTCCATTTTGTGCTGAAAGGACTGTCAAGAAATGAAAGAGAGCACATACCAGACCATCCCTATAAAAAGAACAATAATTAAAAAGACAATGTTTTGATATAATTTTTTTTACATTAAAAATATGAATGGTATGATCCTTGGACTGCTGGAACATATTCATTTTGGTCTACCGAGGAAAAAAGTTATGACCACTGAGAAGGAGTGAATAGCAGAATCTCATCTTAACAAATAAAACTTTCAGCTTTATGTTGAAGATTGAGTCTAAGATAGCAAAAGTACAATATCTGAGTATAATTTTTAGGTATCTGTACTTTCCTTAAGTACATTTTACAGTGGGTTTTTAAAAACTGTTCATTACATTTGAGAGCAGGTATCTGCACTTTCTACTCCACTACATTTTAGATCTGGACTGAAAACTACAAAGTACTTTTCTTTATGCTTTGAGACATGCTGAAATGGCTGAGACTTATTTTTAGCACATTTAATTTGAGTTAATGTTCAATTTTGAGCAAACCAAATACACAAAAACAGCTAGAACATTTAAGAAATCACTTATTTTTACTTATTACTTGAAATCAGCTATTTAAAAAAATCTATTTGCTGCTGTATTATTCTTAAAATCTCTGTAAAATTGTACATTTTTAAATGAATACTTCAATACTTTTACTTAAGTAGATTTTTTTCATGTGATAGTTTTACTTGAGGAATCTTTTGTCCCTGTATCTGTTCTTTTACTTAAGTAACAAAATTCAGTACTTCATCCACCTCTACTCGGCTCACTTTAATGAGATAGGTCAGGATAACTAAACTTTTATCCCTCACAGTTGGTTTGAGAAACACTTTAAGGGATTATTCTGTTCTGCTGTGGTCAGAATAACATAGTGAGGAGTCTGATCCACAGCTCAAATTGCTGGAAAAATTTACGTAGGCTTTGATAATTATTTATAACATTATTCACAGACTGACTGAATGAAATGTTTCTACTTGTTGAGCATTAAGCATTAATAAATCTGTATTTTCAGCCCAAGCCCAGTGTCACACAGGTCTTCATAGCGCCTCCCAAATAATCCCATTTTAATCAAATCAAGATTAAATTATTTCTAATCATCAATAATCGAAGGAATACATTTAATCAATTGTTTTGTGTTAAACTGCACTGATTAAAAGTCTCATTTATATCAGGAAATTAATATTGAACACCATTTGATTTGTTTTCAACACAAAATAAAACCAAATGAAGAAAATACAAGGGAAAAAGTACACTGAAGCTAAATGATTCCTCTTGTAAATTCTGCTGCTGTTGCTGCTACACCTATATCTAAATTTAGATCTTTAATTATCACTGTATTTGTGTGAGGTGAAACTGGCACATTTAGTGACAAAAAAGAAAACAGAAACTTCACAACTGCTGTTTGATTGGGCTTTAACTTCTGTGAAAAATAAAGTGTAATAAAGACTTAATTTGAGTTAATTAAAGATTATGGAAGAAGACAAAACAAATTGTTGACATTATGCACAGTGGCTCTGTAAACATTACAATTACATTTGTAAAGAAACTATTTAAACTTACCAAATGTCAGCTTTATATAAAGAAAATTAAAATGAACACTCAGTTTTGTCACTCAGTTTGTCTATTTAATATATAAAATACGGTAAAACATACGCAAAAAGGATAAGGTTTCAAGGGACTTGGATACTTTGGTACAACAAACACTTTTTTGTAAAAGCGGTATAGAATTTCAATAACATATCAGTGCATACTTTGTATATGAAAATATACACAAACTGTATCATTCTCAAAAACAACAAAAGAATATTTTCTTTACAACAAAACCCAAAGCAGACTAGCTCAACACAATATATTAGCTATAAATTTCATCTTTAGTATCCATATGCTACATTATTCTGAGTTCACACTCATTTGTGATGCATGTCCTTTGTGTCCGAAAAAAACAGGAGCTGATGGTACCTGTAGCCCATGCATTTACATTATTCAATTAATATGAATTATCATTTTCAGTTGTTTCACGTTTTATAAATATATTCTATATCTTAATTAAAACTGCAGCATTTAACTGGTATTTCCTTCATTGCATTTGCTAATACCACAATAATTGATCGTGCAATTTTCAGCAAGTTGTTTCAAAAAAGGAAACCAGTACTATGTTTATGACCAGAGAAAATAAAACGGTTGGCTATCCTACACAAAAATCGCAATAAAATAAAAGCTCCATAATAGTAATAATTATATCATTATAGTAATAAACAATGGAACTGTCACCAGCACAACTTAATCCAAAAATAGTGAGTTTCTAAAAAACATTGTACACAACAAGTAACAGGGTGCAGGTTCATGTCTCAAAGATTGTCATGTGACTAAACTAGAGCTCGGACAGAGAACCATTGTACAAGATATCTGCCGCCAACAGCAGCCAATGCGGTGTGCCCATTCAGTCAAGCACCAGTATTAGAAGGTTACAATTTCAATTTGATTTGGGAGAAAACATGGCCAATGAAATGGGGTTAAGATCATTAGCTGCGTCCTAACCAAGTCAAATGAGTGAACTGAATGCATGTTGGACATAAGATGAAATATTAAATTACACAACACGACGAGGGACGGAAACGTGAATCATTTTAAACATGACAAAAACACTGGTGTCAGAAGAGTGTCTGCCGAAACAGTAGCAATAAAAAGTCTGAAATAGGGATGGGACTTGTAATGCAAAAACCCATTCAAAACTAGAGCTGAGTGTAATGGCAATATTTAAATATATATGCATATGAATAAATCAAAGGACTTCATATTGTGGTACATTATTTACCAAAAACGTGTTTGTTTAATTTCCCAAACAATTCCTCAAGTTACAACAGATCTTTAGTTTATAAACAAACTAAATTAATCCAAAAGAAAGCAGGTCCCAACTTGGACACAGTTACTAAATAGCCTATAATGTCATTGCTTTTTACTTTACTCCATGTATGATAAAGTAGTTCCTGTCAGTGGTGGTTTTGTGAGGGTGAAATTATGGATGCCTCAATAAATGACGTGATAATCAATGATAATGCATATAGGTGCTTGTCTGAGTATTAGATATTCAACTTTTTTGCTTGTTGTGCCCGTTCCAAGTTTGAAAGACAAAGTCCACAACATCGGAGAATCCACGCTTGGGTTCCTCTCTCTTTGTGACATAGATTTAAACGGTGTATATCCATATCCATATATAAAAATACTGTCAACAGTCTGCACCCAGAAAACATCGAGAAAAATCGGGAGAAAATTTCCATTAGTTGACAATTACAACTACTCACACACACATGAAATGGCTATGTCAAAAATAAACAGCACTTTTTCTAAGCCAACATTTTGACTTAATTTTCAAACAAAAGGCAAAAACTATGTGTGCTTATGTGACAAGTCTTAACCAATTAAACTAAGTGTATTTTCATAACTAGACTAAAAGTGAGTGGCAGTGTCTTATTATCATTATTATTATTTATCATTGTGTCTGTAACAATAATGGACATACTTTACTGTTAACCGTAAGCTTTGAAAAAACATGTGGGATAATAGAGAATAGTATGACAACACCACGAGCGAGTAGGCCTCCGTGAGAAGAGTGTACAAGACCATTCACGATAGCATAAAATAGTTTCACGGAGAAAACGTCACTGTCACCAGGCATCAAGTCCGGCACCGAAAACTCCAAAAACATATCAAATTCACACTCATATATGCAAACAGATCCACTGAGATCAACACATTGCTTGTTTTTAGGGATACCTAGCAAAGTCTATGCGAATATTATATCCATATGTACACACACGTCGCTGAAAGCCGCTGCTGTACGTAGTCGCCCCGTTAAAGTTAAAGCGGTAGAAATATAGAAAATGTCTTCTTCTGATCACTTTTTACGCCGAAAGAGGAGGAGCTAGTAGATAGAGCGCTAAAGAGGACATCAAAGCTTTTGTATAAGGAGTGGTTTATACAAAGTCCTACCTACCGCTGGACAACTACTGGACCGTCGAAACAGATTTTTAAATTACTAACAGATAAAAGGTTAACACGTGGACTGAAAGAACGAAATACTACCCGAAAAAGCCAAATTTAGGCTAGAGAAAACCCACTACGCATATCACTGCATGGCATCTACTCCTGGTACTAATCTGGACTTCTGGACAGGAATCCTTGCAAAAAGTTCGAGACGAGGTCAAAAAGTCAAAGGACGGGAAGTGCAGCCGTGGTGAGGACAGCAGGGGGCGCTCAAAGCCTCGAAATCCTTGGTCCTGGTCTTTTCTGTGACGTCTTGTGTGGTGGTTTGTCCCTGTGCCGCGTGCTAGAGGCATTTGGCATATTTTTGTTTTCTAGAGGTTTTGATATTGGCACTCCTTAGCTGCTGGGGTGGTCACGTTTGCCAAATGTTTTTAGTGCTGAATAGAACACGTTTCAGTCTTAGAACCACGTAAAGGCATTTCCGAAAGTGCCATAGTTGAGTGAGTTATGGATGGATCCTGATAAGATGCTGGATTTTTGAAGAGAAATGGTAGCAAAAGTGGCAAAGTCCAGTTATGTAGCCACTTGTAACGCCAGTGCAGCAATGCAAAAACACGTAGAACCTTGTCATAGTTCGTCAAAAGTCATCATCTATTAGACATCTGTTTAAGCTAAAGAAAATCTACTGTTTCTGCGTCCGTCTGAAGCAATTCTCCCAGACTACAAGTTTGTTTTTTATATTTTTAAATAATTTTGGCAAAGTCTGCAGCTAAATTGTATGATTCAGGACATGATGTGATGATAGTGTTGAATGGCAGTGGTGGGGTGAGTGCCGTGAGTGTTTCCAAAACAAAGAAAGCGCGTTTGAAATCCTCTATGTGGCCCACGCGTCCAGTCTCATACGCTTCACGTTCCCCCCTTCTTGCTCTTGCTCGCTGGCCCTGATGAGCAGATCCGCTGGGTTAATGCTCGTTCCGCTGCCCCCGCCTCCTCCCCCTCCGCCCCCTGTGTCGTCCCGGTCACTCCCCTCGAAGGAGCTGGCATTGCTGCTCACGCTGTCCGCCGGCGAGCGTCCGGTGGGGGGCTCCAGGCAGAGCAGAGAGCCGGGGTACTGGGGCGGGGCGTTGAGGATGCCCCCTGAGCTGGAGACAGGGGTAGAGGAGGAGGGAGGGGGGCAGGGCGTGCTCCTGTCCCGACCCGGAGACACAGGCTCGGACTTGATGCTCACGCCAGAGCTGGTGTTGACCGTCAGCATGGCGCCTTGAGGTAAATGGGTCACGGGCCTGAAAGATTAGGGTCACAAAAAAGTGGAGTAGAGAAAAGAGAAAAACAAACATTAACATGACTAATTTAATTAATGATGTACAGTACTGTGCAAAGATTTTAGGCAAAAGTCTAACTGTAGATTCTAGCCTAAAATCCTAATCCAGAATTAAAAAAGCAATCTGTCCTAAAATAAGACTTTAAGACCAGCCACAAGGGGTCAGTATTGAGATAAAATATTAGGTCTGGCGATTTTACCAAAAGAATATTAGTTGATTCACATAATCATGAATAAAGGCCATTGGCTGCAGTTACATGTTCACTGATCAATCTGATTATTACCAGATTTTTGGAGTATAAAATATTATTAAAATGACATGTAAACAGCAAAATCATCCAATGTCTCTCTGATCCAAGGGCCCTCTGATTACTCATATCAGAGTTTGCTTTGTGCATGTCAGTTAAATCATTTTAAAGCTCCAGAAATCAAATAATAATCCGTTCTGGTGTGCATGTAAACTTGGCCGCTGTCTCTAGAGGGCGTTTGTGTTCTCCAAGTATATAAGTCACAAACCGCTTCATCAGGTTTAGCTCCACACTCCACACAGCCCACGTCTTTTTAAAGGGCCGATATTACGCTGTATTCTGATCTATGTTATAAAGTTGTTTCCTCATCACAAACAAACCTGGAGTTGTGTTTTGTTTCATTCACACAAGTTTAAAGACACAAACCCTGCATATTTAGGCTGAGTTCTTCTCTTAAACAGAAAGTGTCCAACCTTGTGATGTTATGTGGTTATACAGGAAGTGCTCCAATGTGTGTATATAAACTTCATACACATTCACTACAAATTATTTAAGTAATTTCAGCTCTGGAATTGACAAAGTAATGAGTAAAGTAAAAAGTAGGGATGTACCGATTTCTAAAGCTCTTGGTATGATATTTTCATGACATATATCTCATGGTATATTTATTGCGATATTTTGTGGACTAACAAAACTGTGAATATGCTACTTTTTCCTCTTAAAATGCCTTGACAAGAATTAATCCAAAGAACTAAGACTTAAAAGTGCTTAGAACTGTTCATGTAGTCTACACTGAAATGGAGCAAAGGTTCATGGTCTATGTAGTTCCCTTTGTCTTTTTCTTAGCTATTGCTGCACCATAACTCTTAATTTAAGACAAAAGACATGTAATTCGATATATTGTGATGGTCCACGATATTATTGTGTGAAGTTTGACGATATGATATCACGATATTTCAGTTATTGTTACATCCCTAGTAGTTGTTAACATGAAAACTACTGCTTCATGACATCACAAGGTGGAGCAGAGCGTTTTGAGCTTTGAAGATGCAGACAGATTAACAATAAAGGATTACTCAAACATGTGTGAATGAAACAAAACACAACTCCAGATATGTTTTTGATAAGGTAACAGCATTATAAAAAGCTCCCAAGATTCAATCTGCATAATATTGGAAGGACTTTTAAGGATAAAGAGGCAAGATGAAGAACTTTAGAAAATTATTGGAAAACAGTCTACCGCAAATGTTGTTTTCAAGGCAAATTTGTCCTTACATGTTTCATCCATTCAAAACACTTGTGAAACAGCTTGCTTAAAACCTTCTGCACAGTACTGCAAACATACAAGACTGGAGTGAATGCAAAACCAAACACTTGACATTTCACAGCACCAACAGGGCAAAGCCACATGTCCCCAAAACCAATCCAAAGACTGTTCAAAGCAGAAACCTCTCCCAGTGTAAAGACAGGACAGCCCAGGAAGCATGAGTTATGTGTGAATGAATCAAAGTAAGTTGTTGGATGGTGTGAAGAGATGCATTATAATCATTGGGTCAGTGGGAAAAAGGTGGAGAGAGTCTAGTCTGTTTAGTCTGCAGACAAGGGTTGTCAAGTATGAAAATCAGATACTATTCGATACTAAAAGTAAAATTGAAACTAGACTGAGCATTTGAGCAGGGCAGAAATGAACCTTTCCTGGATAAGACTGGCTTTAGGATGATCTTAAGCTGTATCAGAACAAGTATTAGACCACATAACTAGTATACGCCATAGACTGTATAAAGAAGTGGAATAAGGGAGTGTGACGTCACCTGTAGCATTTGGCTCCACTCAGATGAAGTTACGGGGCGAATACGGAGGAATAGGAATTTATTAACTGGCAAAATGGCAAAATAAAAACACCAGGATCATCATATATATATAGTTTATATGAACATTTTAAGACCAAAATGACAAGGCGGAGCAGTTACAGAGAGAGGGGTGACAATTTTTCAAGTCAATTGGAGCCAGAAGTGCCTCCATGAACACTTCCTAGTTGGAACGCAGCAGCTAGCAGGTTAGTTATGTCCATTTAGTCTATGGCAGACATGTCAGACTCAGGCCTGGGGGCCAAATTTTGCCCAAGATATAATTATATTTGGCCTGCGAGATCATATCAAATATGTATTAGAGCTCGCCCGCTGGCTACAGATAGGCTATAGAGACATTATTTATTTAAAATGTTGTTATTATTTTATATTATGCTTGATCTAGATTCAGTGTTAAAGTAAAACTATTATTAAACATTTGTTTTAATAAGAAAAAGCTTAACATTATATATCTCGAAAGAAGAGAAAACATGCAGATGATGTTGAAATTTTACAATAAATATTTAGTTTAGCTTACGACTTTTAAATTTTGGCCCTCTGTTTGACACCCCTGGTCTATGCTATACACCAATGGACCAGGATGGAACCTACATGGACTACTGAGAGATTACATAGACCTAACACCACATGTTAATACAAAATAATGTACTATGATTTAATATTGAAAATCACATCGTATTGTCTAACTAAAGAGTGTTTTTAATTATCATTGTGGCATCGGTATCAAGTATGGAGTCTATTTCGTAGCACTGAAATAGAGTTTGAAATTTTAGTATCGTGACAACACTACTGCAGACGGGCACATGCTTAAGGAGCAGCCAAAGCGCACAGACAAACAGGAAACAGGAAGTGAGATACAGTACCGGCCCAACCACTCATCTCTACCCAAGAGCAGGTTGGACGGAGAGCCAACACTGTGGGGACAAAACAAAGGATTGGAGTCCAAACCAGGAGGAAGAAATGTGCATTATTGTGAGCACCACAATAATGCTGTAACTGGTGTGAAACTGACAAAGGCCTATTTCACTTGAACAGATAAATTATACTAAAGAGACATGCAGACAGCGGAGTTTACGTTTTTAAGCAGTGGGAATTTTGTCTAACACCATTAAACGTGTGAGTAAGAATAGTCGGATAAAGAGATATATAAGAGTATTGCTCATACAATTGTCCAAAGAAACACATTCACAAGCTGCTTTAAACTTGTATGTGTATAATAATGTTACTGATGTGGTAATTGTAATCTCAGTTTTAAAGTAATGCAGTAATCAAATAATAAAATAAACAAGGCTTCTATTTGAGCTTTGGGGAAAGTCCATAGACCAGTGAACCCATGTTTAATAAAGTGCCATGTTTTTTTTATGTTATTATCATGTAAATTGACTTGCCTATTCATGTCTGTTATACCAGAAACATGTTTTTACTGCACAAATCTAATCTAATCACAAAAAACATCAATTCACACAGACTATTTAAAGTGTTGTATATCTTAAGCAGCTTTAAACTCATAGTCTCTCTTTAGACTAACACATGGGACATTGGACAAACTTATACTGTATGTTTAGTATATTGTATAAGCATTGTTTGTAGTGTGCAAATGTAATCTAATATAATCACAAAATCCCCATTAATCCAAACTGACTGCCTAAAATGTGTCATATCTCTCTCTTTACACTAACACAGTTCACTATAAACATGGGCTATTGGGCATATATATTTATATTTAATTACAAAGTGCAGAGTTTTGTTTTGTTTTTGTTACTGTTTGTTTTTTACTATCACAAAAAACCCATTAATCCACACCAAATGTCTAAAATGTGTTCATTCTCAGGAGCATTAAGCACACTGTCTCTCTTTAGATTAATGCAGCCCATTACAGACATGGGGTTTTGGACATGTACATTTATATTTTATTATGAAGTACCCTGTGTTTATGTCACTATCACAAAAACCCCACTAATTCACAAAGACTAAAATGTCTAAAATGTTGCATGGTTTCAGCAACATTAAATGCATTGTCTCTCTTTAGTTTAAAACAGTCCACAAACATGAGATACTGGACATAGATATTTATACTGTAAAAGCATTGTTTTTACTGTGTGCAAATCTAATCTAATCACATTACAAAATAAACACTAATCCACACCGATTGTCTAAATTGTGTTGTATTGTCCCAGCAGCATTAAGTTCATTCTCTCTCTTTAGATTAACACAGTCCACAAACATGGGACACTGGACACAAGCACACTGGGCTCTTCACCTCAGATTGGCTGCCAGGCTGGACACCTGGCTGCACAGATCGCTGCTCTGTTTATCCACGCCCCACATGCTGCGGACGAGAGAGAGAGAGACACTTCACCAAAAAACTATATTCACTCGACCCGTCCCTGTAATATCTACGGTACTGGCTTCAATAGAGATCAGAATGGTATTGTCCTATTTAGATCAGTGCATTAGAGGTGCACCATGTAACTTTGTTGTCGTTTCTTTGTGGAAATGTCATTGCTTTGGCTGAAAAGTTTCACAGTATAGCTTTAAACCTTTCTATTTTCATGGAGACCAAACCAGACCAAGAGGCAACACCGCTCAGTCAGAACTCTTCTAGGGATTTTTAAGAAGTAAAGCCACCTGTTATAAATAAATATAAAGTAGAGCTATTTAATGCCATACTGTGAAACATTCCAGGCAGGTTACAAGTAGGTGACAAACCCCAAACCAAAACGTTACATAGTGCACCTTTAAATGTGCCTACAGTTGTCATTAAGTAATGCAGACACTAAACTCGACATCACAAACACTCACTTCAGTGTGCTGCCGTTATGTTCAATGGTGTGTTGACAACTCTTAATTACCTCTTTGGGCTAATTGCACTCATTTACCCATTAAAGGAAATAAAACAACTAAAGGAGTGTATCAGGGCCATATGTTAAGCGTGTCTCTAGAGGAAATACGTCTCTAAATCTTTTCGCTAAAATCTCATTAAACACTTGTGCATAACGCATATCATTATCCATGTGTTTTGGAGTTGATATCTGCAACATTAAACCTCTGTGTGAAAAAAACATTCCTTTGTTTTCCTCGATAAAACTGCAGTTGATGTCATGGCAGGCTGAGATGGTGAGATGCCGTGGTTACTACAGAGGAGAAGAGGTGAAGAGCTTGCATTTCAGGTTATGACATGAGACCATGCAAGCTGACAGGAGTGGTACTGAGGGCCTGGGTTTAACATTAGGTATTCAGAGTATTACATTATACCTTTTGGAGACAGAAATGTAAATTTAAAGCTCCGTTTATGAAGGTTGTTGAACTTACACCAGTGATGACAGGTTGATCTGCTGCTGTTGTTGAGCGGCTGTCGGCTGTGGTTGTTGCTGCGGTTGCTGAGGTGGTTGCTGGGAGACGGCCTGCTGCTGTTGCCACGTCGACACGCTGCTTGGTAACAGACCTCCAGGTGATGCCAGAGCGTGAAGCGCAGTGATGTCCGCACTGGTCAGCTGGTACTCTGCAGGATGGCAAAGCATTAAGGGTCATTCAGCGTTGTCACATTTTGTCTGTAACATGTAACACACTGTTGCTCTTTACACTGTAACATGATGTAAGGTATTAGATTGGAAAGAACTTATGGGAAAATGTAATGCACCATCTAAACAAGCAAAAAACAGAGCAAAAGATACTCAAGTAAAGATAAAAACATGAAAAAAACTACTTAAATGTGTATTGTGTAACGTTTAATGTAACATGTAACACACAGATGCTCTACACACTGTAACAACCTGTAATAAGATGTAAGGTATTTAGATTGGAAATAACTTATGAGAAAATGTAATGCACCATGTAAGCAAACAAAAAACTGAGCAATAAATACAAATACAAAAAATAAAAACATGAAAAAACTACAGTAAAAACTAAAGTAAAAGTAAAAACTACTTATGTAAAATATTAAAGTACCTGTTTAAAATGTAATGAAATACAAAAAATTATTTCACACATATTTTGAGATCTAATAATTTAATAATCATCATATAATTGTTGGACTGTCTATGACCTCTTGTATATAGCTGGGAATTTATATTATTTTTCTATTTTATTTTGACTTGAACATACATTTATATAATTATGTCTTATTTTAACACCTGCCTTTTCCTATCTTTTTTGCTACTTATTTAGAATATATTATTACCATTTATATTTTTTACTCTTTGTTATTATATTATGATGTGTGAGCTACTGTGTCCAAATAATTTCCCTTGTGGATCAATAAAGTTTGTTTAAGTCTAAGTCCAAGTCTAAAGCTTCAAATGCAGTTATTTTGAGAAAGATTTGTGCTGAACTGTGTTCAAAAGAAACAAATGAATTGATTGTCTTTTCAGCAGGTCTCAGACAATAATAAAAAATACTTTTACTTCTCAAGCCTGTTCAAAAATGTAGAGGAGTAGAGAGTACAGACACCTGCACTCAAATGTAGTGAAGTAAAAGTAAAAAGTATCCATTGTAAAATCTACTTCAGTTAAGTACAGATACCTAAAATGTATACTGCATGTAGGGGTAATCTGTAAGTAAACACATCAAGCATAACGTAACACCATTATATGAAAATCCCTCAGTTGTCCAGGTAGAATCCATGGCAAAGGAGAAATTCACTATGTCAAATGGGCAAAAGTTTATTTGGTCGAATAAACGTTTGTCCAGTCGACATACTCAATTTCTTCTTTGCCACGTAACACTATTACTGACATAACTGTTACAGAAGACTATAGAGACAAAATGCTAAAATAACTGATGCGTGTCCAGCTCACCTGTGTTGTAGGCGGTGGGCATGGCGGAGAAGGGCAGACCCTGGGCCAACAGACTGGGGGTTGCCACGGAGACAACAGGTGTGGTGAGGGTCTGTGCCACCTGAGCTCCTGCTGCCAGCCGCTGAGCATTCTGTCAAAAACCACACAACCTCGTCAACAAAACAGACACAGAAACAGACTGTTAACAGGTCCTGAAGTCCACGGATGACTGTGCTGAGTGTGACATGCTGGGGCTGATGAGATGTAGCGGGTCCGTAAATCACAGTGGAGGATTTACCAATAACCAGGTGGTTCTTGATGACATGCATCAAAAACTATTATCCATATTTGAACAACGCAACTCAGGGGCAGATTACATTAAAGGCATTTGAGTTAGGCAATTTGATTTGTATTTCTTCTGTATTATAAATATTTACTCTGGTGAGCTATAACCTGTATTAAAATGTTTTTGCCTTATCAAAACCATATGCAGAGTTGTGTTTTGTTTCATTCATAATATGTTTAGCTAAATGTTTATTATTAGTCTGTCCACAACCACAATGGTACATACAGTGGCACTTTTGAACAGCTACATTTTACCATTAGTTCAGTAGAAATGGGAAATTCCAAGGCTGAAATTGTCCAAATGATTTTAGTGAAGGTGTATGTATTACCACATGACATCACAAGGTGGAACTGAGTGTTATTTCCAGGTATGTTTTTGATAAGGAAACAACATTATAAGATATGCCAGAAAATGGCGTAATATGGGCCCTTTAAACTAAATGGTATAGAAGATTATTATAGATTAGGTCAAAAAGGTAAATACATTTTTTATTATTTATAATGCCAAGATTAAAAGTGAACTACTAGTGCTATAGTCTATAAACCATACATAAATTACAAACTGTGGTTTTATTGCTCACATTTTTACAGTAGTACCACTGGTATTACAGCACCACAGTAATGTAATATAAAAGAAAACACATTCAAGAACAAAACCTCCATCATAAAATGCTTTTAGTTGCCTGGTAATTCCTTCAAATTAATGAGCAAAGTTATTTGCAGTATGGTGGTTATGGGAGCTTAGTAAGGTTAACTCTTGCTCCGAACAGTTCAAAATATTTGGATGGAACAACATTTGGCAAACAAAGAAACTTGTAAAATTTATTAAAGACACTGTGAGGTGTTATGGCTGCGCATCTGTGCCACATAATAAAATGTATTAACAGTTTTTGCTAAAGGGATATTAAGGTTATGCGAACAAAAGGCCAAAAGATGCGATCATTTCAGTTCTGAATTACTGCTCTCTGGTGTGATGATTTTCTGAGGAAACATTGGCCTGGGTTATGACTGTAACATTGGATTTGGAGTGAGAGAAGATTGAGCGCAGAGTAGGGCCAGATTCAATTAAGTGTCTTTGTGGAGACGCGAGGAGGAGCGGTGCGAGAGAGGGCCATGGAAATGAATCACTCGAAGCAAGAAAATGAGATTCTGGCTGTAACTTTGAGAAGTATTGTAGAAAAATGACATAGAGGTGACAGCACCAGCTATGAGAACAAGTCAAGTCTTTGGGTCCAGATTGGGTTTAAAAGAGGCTGTACTTTCACTACAGACTTTGGTTAGATACAGGGTTTTCTTTCTCGATTACATCAATTAATTTTGGTCACCACTGAAGTAAAAAATGTATAGGTAAGATTGAAATTAAGAGTTCTGCATTTGAGAGCACAAAATATGAACTCATAAACTAATACAAGAATCACATGCTTTTGTTAAAGGTGCAATGTGTAACTTTCTGGTGGAGGGCAAGTGAATATGGCATTAAACTTCTAAATTTCCATAGAAACAAACAGGAGACGCCACCAGGACAACTTACAGGGGAAATCTCTGAAGAGGTGACCCCACTCACAGTAAGAATGGATGTTTTTAAAATTATTCATTGATAATTAAAAATACCCATAATTGAACATATGCATCTTATCTTAAATTTAATATACAGTGTGACCCCCAAAATTTGACACCATTTCTCAGGACAATAATTTTGGCAATTCTTGTTAAAATAAGCTTAAATTTTCACAGAATGTATAGAAAGAGATCAAGATTTTATATTTAATGTTTTATTTTAGTTCTGTTTGCAGGTTGAGACATGCCGTACGCTCCCAAAGAGAAGTCACTTTGCATCTTGGAATATTCTCACACAATTTTTATTTTTTTTTATTTTTTTGGAACGCCCTGTATATTTAATAATATTGTGGAACCCCCAAACTGAAAAGTTAAGGAGTGCACCTTTAACATTATTTGAGGTTACAGGGTTGATTGGCTTTGTTGTAAATGTTGTCCAGCAGGTTAACAATTTACTTAATGTTGTGATTAGTCTTGCAGCCATATATATAATGCCTTTAGTTGTAAAATGCCTTTAATGTAATGTCAGATTTGAACACATCTCTTTAACGTTTGGTGAGAGGGTGACAATGGGGGATTGGGGGATGTGTCAGTGAACCAGGTGGAGATACAGCCATGCTTTAGTGGCATCTTCAGATCACTCCAGGACAATACAAACTGTTCATTTCGGTTTCAAGCATAGACTGTATAAAGAAGTGGACTAAGCGAATGTGACGTCACCCACAGTGTTCAGCTCCAGTCAAATGAAGCTCACGAGGACAGCAGTTATAGGAGCGAATTTGGAGTCAAGTTCAATATTAGGAATAGGAATTTATTCATGGACAAAATAGCGAAATAAAAACTCCAGGATTATCTAGAGCAGGTTAATATAGTGAGGCTCAGAGCAGCAGTTACAGAGAGGGGGTGACAATTTTGATGTAAACTGGACCCTGAGTCAGTGGAGTCGGAAGTGCCCCCACGCTCACTTCCTATTTTGAACATGGGAGCTAGAGGGTTATCTATGTCCATTTATATATACAGTCTATGGTTTCAAGTGACACAAGCTGTACAAGATAGTGTGGTAGTGGTAAATACCAATGGCCAGGCTCTAAGCAGCTTTTGTTGTAAGCTTTGAGCAATAGTGGAGAGACGAGAAGCGTAACATTCAATCAAACAGGTTGTATAGAAAGTTTTTTTTACAGAAGAATTTTAAAAGTTACCTTAATAAATAGGCCTCATAAAATTACCAGTAAAATGAAAACTAAGGATTTAACTATAGCCAAATCTCCCGGTACGATATTTTCACAATATATATCTCACAGTATGATATTTATTGTAATATTTTGTAGAAGTTAAGAAATTTTTGTTTTGGTTTTTTTTTTCCTTTAAAATACCTTGTCAAGCTTTTGTTTCTGCCATAATCCAAACAACTATGATTTAAAAGTGTTTATAAAAGTTATTTCTTCATTTAATCAGTAAGGATCATGCTTTAATCCATGCTGAACTGCAACTATTAATTTAAATTAAAGAGTTGTAATTAGATATATTGTGATGGCCCACGATATCATTGTGAGACTTTTGACAATAAGATATTGCGATATTTTGGTAATTGTAACATCCATAATAATAAAACCAGATTTGTTCACCATATTAGAGGTTTATAATACAGTTTTTGTTAGTCTCAGTCTCTCAGCTGCTCACCAGAAACTCCTCAGTCCACAACTACCAAATCATGTACAACGTTCACTCTACCATCCTGTAGTATACACTGTACTCACTACACAACGATCATCATAATATCTCAATAATAAATCGTCACTAAAACACCAATTGTGTTCAAAATGCCACGGTTATGACCCCTGATCTTCATGCAGTCGAGTTTCAAACCAAAAACCATCCCGAATGTTTGTGGAACAAGACTGAACAATGAGCACTGCAGTGGGACCATGCTGCTGTAATGTGTGACCAGTGACTGCCCTCGACCCATGCGAGAGACTGAAGAATTCACCTCATTTACCAACTCCAGCTCTTCCTCTGTCTGTGGAGGGGGCAACACAAGGATTAAGCTCAGAGTGGTGGGGTACAAAAGCAAGAAAAATAATCTAAAAGTATTAAAATAACTAGTATATATTGGCCCGTCATTCATTCAGTAAACAGGATGCAGAGGGAGAGATCAAGAGGCCATCAGACATGCAGTTTGTCACTGGGAATTTATGGATAGGCCTGTCACCATAATCCGTGTATCATTCGTTCATTTGTTTATTCAAAATAAAACCAAAAATAAGAAAAAGAAAAAACTACTTTTTTCTTCATATTTTGAAAAAAAAAAAAAAAAACAGTAACGATTGTTTTTTTCAGTGTTCGATTTTGTGTTTAATCAATAATGGAGAAAACGAATAAGGACCGTTTCCCATTTCCGTGACTTAAACTGCGATGCCGGACTTTTGCGTCACATATGGATGCACAGGACTAAAACAGGACTAAACCAGTTCTGGACCAGGACTAAACCAGGACTGAATCAGGTCTAAACCGGTCTGATCCCAGTCTGGTCCCACCTCCAGGCCCGTCCTGACACTCCTGGTTCAGTCCTGGTTTAGTCCTGGTTTAGACCTGGTTCAGTTCTGGTTTAGCCCTGGTTTAGGACTGAGACCAGGACCAGACCAGGATTGAGATCGGAACCAGACCGGGACCAGCCCAGGACTGAGACCGGTTTAGACCTGGTTTAGTCCTG